CCGGTCACGGCTTACTGAGGAGGGCCTTGTTCTGTCTGCGAGATGTAGAGTGGCGCAAGGTGGACAAAAGTAGACATGGAAGTGGGAAATGAAGTAACTGACGATCAAACTTGGTGCCGTCCGTCCGCCTCGCCCCCCAGACTGGAGTCGACGTGGCCCGACTTCTGCTTAACTCGAGACGTTATAGGATATGGCTAGCGTCTGTTGCCGTCTCCTAGTCGAACTGCCTGTTTAAAGTGTGTTTGGTGCTGAGTCATCTACGGGGTAAAGACTGATTATGATGCCGGGCAGTGACAGCCGCAAGGAACCTGTCTCGTCGATGCCACCTTGTCTTTGCACGATAGCCAGCTGTTTGTGATGGCATGATGTTGACAAGGTGTAAGTGCCTTAATTTTGAAAGATCGCTCAGGGCGCTAAGGTTTGCCAATAATTCTCCTTCTTCCCCTCTTATTATTCCTCATTCCGTATGTCGCTATAATTGTATGACAGCGGAGAATCAGTTCAAATGGCTGATGTACTGCTGTTGATGATGACGGTGAAGAAAAGGTTTGCGATTAACATACGCCATATAATGTTTCAGTCGAGAACGCAAACTCCAGCACAGTGCGCTGCGATGCGATCGTCAACGTCCCCTCATTTTACTTGGAGCAAATTGTACATTCAAGTAGGTTTTGGAGATTTAATAGAGCTATGCAGATACAACCCTGGAGATAAGCTGGTTACACACCACTGTTAGGGTGATAAACGTTGTTATAAAGTCGAAACAGTGCAGTGATACATTATACTTGTTTGATCAGTAATGGGAGAACTCCGAATATGATTAGGCGTCACAAAGCGATAAACGAAGACGCGGTATCCAAGTGTGGTACAGGTTTCACGTTGCGCAGACCTCGTACGAGAAGGACGAAAACTGACAACAACGGGAGCAATGTGTAGACTAATAGCTAATTTCCAACGTAGCAAGCATATATCGGTTATAGAAGCCCTAAGCCAATCACGAAATGAATGAGGACAGCTGGGGCTGTCTCCAGTTGACCAGTCCAAACCAGGAGGAAACCGCGGTCGTGGTGTGCCAGTGTTGGGAAAAGCAATAACCAAATATTTTCATTCAGGATACGGTCCTAGAGATCGGAATGACAGAGGTTTACCTCAAAGTGAACCAAGGTCTCAATAGAGGTTGCGAGTCGCAACCGAACCACACAGCGTGCTCCCTAAATTCAGCTTTGAATTAGTTTCCGCTGTGCCAAGTGTTGCTCGCGGATCTCAGTAGCATAGTGTTCAGGGCGTCAGCCGTGAACTACTAAGCTCTGAGTTCCACCCCAGCTCGGGCTATCTCCATCTGATGAGTCTAAATCAGGACGCAACCGCGGTCGTGGTGTGCCAGTGTTGGGAAAAGCAATAACCAAATATTTTCATTCAGGATACGGTCCTCGAGATCGGAATGACCGAGGTTTACCTCAAAGTGAACCAAGGTCTCAATAGAGGTTGCGAGTTGCAACCGAACCACACAGCATGTTCCCTAAACTCAGCTTTGAACAGTTGGGACCACCTATGAGGAAGATATTCATGGAATATAAGACAAACGGAAAATTTGGTTAAGCACTCAAAACGGACCAAACATCACGTTCAACGCCGGTGTCTTTGAAGAATCGTGTCCTGAGTAGTAAGCGAACAGATGCACTTGTAAACTTGTGTTTACACGCATGCGTACGCCAAATCGAGTGATACGAGGGTCGTAGAACAAAGAAAACGCGTGGTCAGGCAACCAAGAAAGACTCTTAATGCAAAAATCACATGAGGGTGCACAGCAGCTAGACATGCACAATACTCGGAGTGGGGAGATATCAATTTGAGAGCTATCAATATCAACTGGAAAGAATTGCAGATAACGCCATAGGCACCGATCGGAGAGTCGATGGGAATCACAAAAGGCCGTAAGCCAAACGGACAGAGCACACTGGATGGGGACGAGAAACACGAAGCGATCGATCTAAAGGAGACCGAATAGTCAACAGTAAGAAGCGAGGATCAACACCACCAACACCACAACACAAAGTTCGTTGGGTCACCAGAACTATTGCTTATCTCAGTGCACGACATCAAACATCTCGACATACAACTTCCATCTAGTAACTTCCGCCCCAGCGTGTTATAAAATAGTATACCATCGAAGAGCTAATTCGTTTGAAGTGAAGAAGCTCCTGCGTCAAAAACGAAGCGTTACCAGGGAAACACTTTAAGGAAATGTTCGTCAAACCATCTGAAGCAAGAAACTTCCGTTCTTTATAGACATTTTAACAGAAAGGCTTATCGTATTCATAGGCCGGGTGTTCATTGGATTAGCCATATCAGCGGATGGACACAACGTTATCAGATATGGCGGGGCTTCGTAGTCAGCGGAGCTGTGACATTCGTTCGCTTGTTCCACAGTTTTCCCCATCCTATTTGATAATTGGTACCATTGTCCACTGTATAGTGCAGTCAGCGGCGTCCCTAAATTCGGTTTCGTACATCAAGCTGCTACCATTCACTGCAACACAATTAGCTTAACGCACTTCTCTCTTGATTTCGTTTTCCTTATAGGCTATTTATGTTTAAGGCATTTAGAGATAACCGTTGACATCTATTGTTACTATGAGGAAGTGAGTCGTTGCAAGTGAATCCAATGCACTTACGTGCCCGGATCACAGATGTTCAAATGAAGTGAAAGAGTCCGCCGTATATATTAACCTGTCTCCTAGGGAATGTCAACTGGATACGAGGAGAACATAAATGGCAACCAATGTATCGAAACCAGGACTATGCGATAACATCAGAAGCATGATGCCAGTCGAACTGGTGGTTTATAGGGATGACGCGAGCAATGTTCCCACAACAAGAGGTTGAGTAAGGAAAAGCACCGAACGTACCGTAGTAGTGCAGCCAGTGAGCACTTCGAATTTGTCTTTTCTTTTGACTGCCGATTACTCAATCTATTGGAGATAATGATATTTATCCCATTTTTAATTGATCAATCGTTTTCTCCATTGCTTTCGTGGCGACGGGAAGTGACAAAACTGAATCATAGTTCATCAAACAGACTGCCTTTAAGGTAATACACGCACGCTCCCAGGTGAGTACTGCGATGTAGTATACTGTGGTCCACCTTTTAGTTGAGTGCCGGATCCTTGGATGAAACAAGCGATGCAGTTGTTTGCAGTGAAATATAGAGAGTTTTGATAACTTTGAAACATTCCTCGGAAATTCTACTCGGCTATCGTGATTCCGTGAGTAGTCCTCGACGTGTGAACCAAAATTAGGTTAACCCAGCTGGAAGCGCAACAGATACTTCAAAGTGGTAGAAGAGGCAACGAAAACAGAAACGTCTATGTAGTTAACAGACAGAAATTTCGACTAGCGAATCGCGAGCGAAGAAGAATAAATCCAGTCCAAAGTAGTAAAGTTGAAGCACTTGTGGTCCGAAGTACGGGCTACCAACTAAAATTAAGTCGACAGAGATTCACTCACGAAGGTAGCTATCTAGTTCGACTCATAAATGCGAATCAGAGGAAAAGTGAAGTCAGAATTTCGAGGCATGAGGCTGTGAATTGACTGGGAAAGCACTAGCAATTTGCTGGTAGGTCGTGGGGTAACACCCACACACAGCCTGCAGAACCACTAAACCGATGTGCTGTGAGTTCCGAGAATTCCCACTAACTGACGAAGCCAGAGAAACGACAGAGTGAACATGTGTGAAAGATGACACCGGAAGTCTGATTCACTTTTGCGGGGTCTTTGAATTGGCTGTTGTTGCTCTCCCCTAAAACATCGTTTTTTGCGCGATCTATTGCAAGCGTATCAACTTTGTATGAATATTTAGACGAATTCCTAGGCTGAGCAATTTAAAGGTCACTGAGGTTGCTCATCCCAACCGATTCTTTGAAAAAGTATCCGAGAAACTGCGCATAACTCACAGTTTGCTGCTTTTATCCAAATGAAACGAGCCATCAATAAACGTTGTAAGAAAAGTTGGCCTCGTCAACTGGATGAAGAACCTTATAATGCGGTCTATCAATATGCAGTTGTTGCTTAAATATGTCGGACTGATTTCTGAGACTGTAAGTGAGAGCAAGTAGAAAAGTTGCTGTACAACTCAATCCAACTATGAAAAATCAGAACATTTCATTGCGGATTGTCAGCGGTAGTGTTTGGTCAGGCTATCGTTTATCCTTGTTCGATTAGGTATTCGTATAGGTGCCATTGTTTCCAGGTATAGGATGCATTTTTTACATTGCATGTACACCGTTTGACAAGAGCACAGGTTTCCAAAATAATCGGCGATATGTCGATACTTAAATGAGATCTGTGCACTCTTTACCTATTGTTTTTAAACTTGTAAAATTATCATATTTACTGATGCTGTTTTATCACATCTGTGGTAGATAGTGTAAAATGCTGAAAATGCATCCATCTGAGTGCATAAAGCTTCTCTTGACTACATAGCATCTCCAAAATGGGTACACAAGTTGGATTATCGGAGACTTCAACACCGTCTGTCGTGAAGATGCTGGCTACTTTGAACTGACGGAGTTCGCGCGATAAATAATTGGCTTTTATCCGAATTCATCAGTTTGTCAAAGTAGGAGCTCAACCGAAAAAGCATTGATGAAACTGGTAGATCGATGACGACTGTATTCGAGTAAACCGAGCGCAACACAAACATCGTCTGGCACTGCGGAGACAATGAGCTAACCATGAGACTGAGTTCACTTGTCTGTGCAAAAGCGCCAGCTTTTCAGCCCGAAACCACCAAATGCCGCAATGGTATATGTAATGGTTACTGTTGTGTTGATATAATGTACAGCGAATCAACTAACTGCGATTCGGTGCTTTGGTAACTGCGATGTGATGAATTCGAGGCCGATAAAGCCCATCGTAGACTAAGTAATGATGAGGCTCACAAATTATGGAAATCCTAAGGTGTTTCTTAGTGCTGCTCCTCCGTTTTGTAAAGATGAGTGCACGTAAATCGCTCAAGCTAGTATGCCGCCACAGATTGGCACCTGTGAAGACCAAATAAAAGCTACTGAGGACTTAAGCAGTAGCACGAGTGATTACAACATTTTCTGTGTGAGGCAGTGGGGACTGGCGCAGAACGTCACTGGAAAGCAACACGTTGATTCAAATTATTGTGCGTGGAACTCAATGCACCAATAAGATGTCAATTCCACCGAAGAAGATTACCGATGGCAGATGTAACGCAGATGCAATACACGTGTTGGGAGACGCTAAGTAGAATGTATGGAAATATGCGAACTAGATTGTGAAGACTAAAGTAACATCAAACTGAATCCAATGGTAAATATAAAAATTAACTACTGCGAAAATAACAAGAATGAGGCTATAAGAAAATTGAAAAAAGATCCACTGTTGTGATGATCGTAGCATCAGCGATAACAATGGTAATGGCTATCAGAGGCGACATGACAAGGTAGTTTTCCCAAGTTTGAAGGAGATAAAACAAATGCATAGATGGGGAAATTTGCGAGACGGAATCGCGGCTTTCACCGATGGCCCACTAAACTGCAAGGCAAAAACAGCAATTGTATCATGATCACAAAACCAGATGTTGGTAAGAAGAAAGACCAATGGCCGCTTGATTCCAAATGTGACATGGGAAGTGGGTGAGATCGCGCTAAAGTAAGCTGGGGAAATTAGATCCTAGTCTGGCACAGAAAGCTTGAAAGAAAAAACAAGAGATGACGGCGGTCAAAAAAATGAATGCAAATCTCTGTAATCACAAAGAGGATATATAGGAAGGAGAAAGATGCGCCAAACGTATCGTGATGTTTACAAAAATAACCTAGCTTGAAGTTTGAACGGAACGGCGATGGGACAACAGGTACGTCTTCATATTGCCTTTACCTTTGACAAAAACTTCGCCGCGATAATCAAAAACGTAATGAGACTCTAAACGTTTGGCTACTGCCTCGGTGACCTGAATCCGTCCCTTCTGTCCTGTGGAGTACATCCGGCTTGCAACGTTAACAGTATCACCCCAAATGTCATAAAGTAACTTCGTGGTGCCAATAACACCAGCAGTGACCTCGCCGATGTTGTAACCAACCTTCATTTCGAATTGAAAGTTGAACATCTGACGATTAAAGTCGTCCAAAATGTGAACGAGATCAAGAGCAAAATCCATCAGCGCTAATAAATGTGAATCAGGTAACTCATTACGCTGCCGTTGGGACAAATTCAATCCGGAGGCTGCCATGAAGCAAGCGCCAATAGTCTTGATCTTCTCTACATCCTTGTACTTCGTAGCAGCCAATAAGTGCTCAAAGTCAGCAAAAATTTCGTTTAGAACGCGGAGCATTTCTTGACCACCTTGATACTGTTCGTCGTAGAATTCAGCAAAGTTGGAAATCGTCGCGAACACAACAGCCGCATCATCGATGTGTTTGGAATACTTACTCGTCTGACGCAAATCATCCATGATATAATATGGGATGATGTTTTCTAGTAACCAGTCGGCTTGCACTTTTTGGTGAGCGATGGCCCGCTTGGCCTCTAATGCTTCGTAGTCGCGATGAAAACTTAGTCGGAAGCTAATGTCGAATTCGCGATTCAGTGCGGAAATGAGGAGTAACGTAAGGAACAAAATCACCGTCAGCTCAGCAACAAAACTAGAATGGAGCACGGATTTCATCCAAGGAGTGGGAGTCAAGGAAGGGACAGATTTCCAGGCTGGACCATATCTTGCGCCTACACCCGGTGAGTGTTGCACTTGGATATAGATCAATGTGACGGTAACCGCACAGCCAACAAGTGTGGAAAGAGATTTTGTCCAAAACGAAAAAGAGACAAAGAGAGTGAAGTTGAACAACATGAAGGTGAACAACAATCCATTCAGAAGGCGATAGTGAGCTACAAACCAGTCAGGATAAGCGTCAAAATCGGAGAAAAATGAAGGGGAGAAATTGGACAAAACGACAGTGGTGGGCAAGATCAACAGCACCGCACCCATGACGTTTCTTAATGGCCATTTAAAGAAAAACGCGTAGGTCCGAAGAGCACATCGGCGCCAGTTGCAAGCCCTGTGATTGGAAGTATGAGGAACGTCTGATCGGCGGCAACTCCATGCAGCCAAATCAACAAACAGAAGTAGCATAAACAAAAGGTGAAGAAGTGCTGCGACCGATGCCACAGCATAGAAAATTGACGGGTAAGGAGCTAACTGTGAACCGGGGAACACGATAACGCATGTGATCAGAACAGTTGTGAAGATAATGAGCTGCACAGCACCATTGATGAGTGGAGCTATGCGTGGAGTGGACCAAGATAACCTGTTGATCGCTTTGCCCTTAGGACGTCCAAGTCCTAAGCGCCGATAGTGAGATTCAACCTTATGAACAAAGAAATTGAGTGTGAAACGAGAGATAGGGGGAAATGAGAACACATCCTCCACTTTGGCTAGGCCTTTCAATGCATCTAGCATTTGTGCATCGGAACCCCGTCCAGGTGGCTGCACGTTGGTAGTTTTCTGGTCCAGAGACACACGATGTTCCTGAAGAACTGTGGATGCAGCATTTGATAATCTGGCTTCCTTGTTTTCCTCTGCTTTGTTGGAAATTCCATAGCTGCTGATAAGTGGGTGTGTCGGAACGCAGGCGATCTCCGTCTCCGGTGAAGTATCAACGGAAATGACACCTGACTCCAATGGAAGACCCTGATTCAGAAGAGTTGGGAGTAGACAAAAACGCAAATACAACGCTTTACATACAGTGGAGATGGATGTTATTAGGGGAGTTAGAAGCATCGTGCCAATATACAGAAATCTCTGTGCTACACAACAAGGTGCGGGGCTTTTTGCGAATGAGGACAATCAGCTCGGGAGATGAAAATGAGGTGGTTGCGCCCGAGTGCCATGGTAAAAAGCGTCCGGTGTCAAGGGAGGGGGGCTAGGGGTGCTGGTAAGCGTGCTAATACCGGTCAGGGTGCTGAGTGCAGCGACAGTGTAAAGAGGTGTGTAAGCAAGTGACATAACAAAGGAGGGGGCCATTATAAAATGTCAAAAGCAATGACGAAGTGGGACGAGATTTCGTTCACGAAGGAAGCAAGGACGCATCGATGGATAGGCCAATATGTGGGAAACAATGTACAGTGCACGCGCAAGCAAACAGTAACATGCAAGCGGGAAACTCACATGGGGTGCAGAACAAACTGGTTTACCATCGAAACGACGTTCAACAAAATAGGTCTTGATCACTGAAATGACGAAAAAGGGCGATTATCACTAAAATGTTAGTACTACTGCATGTGCGGTGAGTAAAGCCACCATAATAATAAAAATAATAATACGTACACATTGTGCATCTGCCAGAGGCTGCTTTTGTATTAGGAACGGAGCATTAGTACAGTTATAATTTGATTTCTGCATGAGCGAGATGGGTATCGACTAAGTGCTGTGGAAGCATACTGAAATACACAGCTTTGTTGGCGTTCGGTGTTGTGTAACAGTTTATTCACACTAGCTATTGATCTATCGGTCCATTGTGGAATTCATTTAGCGATTTCCCCGATAAAGATATAACCATGATCGAATTATGAAGGAGGAAACTTCTAAATTTAATGCATGCAAGTTCTGATAGTGGCTGACTCGCTGTTCCACTGAACAGCGTATCTGAAGAGGAAGAGATTAGAGTGAATAGCAGTACTGGTTAATCGCACGATTAATTTACAAGCCTTGTTGCAAAGTCTTAGAGTGAAGTGATGTCATTTTTATGTGGATAGATTGCAGCATGTCATCTGATTTATCAGATTGTGAAGGAACATCAAGGTACTTTTTACCACGAGACTGGGCCTGCATGACTTATTGAACCATGTTGTGTGGTACTCACAAAATGCAATCGGAGCCACTCATACTAGACAGGTCAACGCTCAGGAGTCAGACTAACTCCGCCTCACATTCCAATCCTCTTCGGTTAGGGAGAGGTCAATGGCACCCTTCCCTTAAGACCAAGCCATGGAAGACAACAGGCGACAGGTTATAAGCTTACAGCTCGATTGGAGATCACGAGCGAACACGCGTTGATTTTGACGATGAGAGCACAGCGCACAGTGCTCAATGGTTTGCTACTGCACAACTCAAGCGAGGGAGCACGTTCAAATTGGTGCAAACCAGATGGCTCCCACTTGTGGCTGACTGTGGTCACAGGGGCGTACCGTGGTTAGGGGCATCAAATTCGGGATTTGTCTGTCATTGGGGACAAGCACCGGACGCCTGCGCCCACAGAAGGACCATGAGTGGCTTCCTCTGCAACACCCACAGCTTCATCCACACACCCTATATCTAATGTGAACCCGAAGGAATAAGACTGGTAAGCACGTGGATGGGAGCCACGTTTCATCAACGGAGTCGGCTCACAGAGCAGCAGCATTCTTGTCTGATTGGGAAACCATGCGTACCAGACGTACACAAGGCGGTGGCTGGACCGCAGTCCGCTCCACACTCGATGGAACCATTCTTTGAGCTTAGCACGATCACAAAGACCGTGCACCCCGTCTCCCATTGCACTGACCAACTGTCTCCGAAGTTAGCATAAATACGGTAGCGGTTTTTCGACAGGTAGGCATCTTGTCAACATTCACATCAAGCGCAGCCACATTTAGGACATCAAACAGCAACACACAAATTGGACAATAAATGTGCGGCAGAAGGACAGAACAGAGCACAACAGAAAAACTGTTGTGCTGGTAAGAAGGTTAGAATATCTTCGAACCTTCTTACCAGTAACCTGAACTCGCAGTCTGCAGTTCAACAATATTACGACTACGTGGCCATCAATTGTCAGTGCGGAAAGTTCGTGATCCGAACGCTGACTGGGGATCGTCTCAAGTGTGACACGAAGAATGCTTTTGACGCCGACTGTACAACCACCTTCAGACGTACTAACTGAAAATGGATATCTGAGGCACCGATCAGGTTGAACGAAGCACGGAAAGAGATGCTAATGTGTACTGAGTTTCAGTGTGTCCGAATCGCCCTCAAAAATGTCTGACAAGTAGTCTCAGAATTGACGGGGAAACTTTGGTGGATGACAATGGCGCGTGAGATGGAGAAAGTCGACTGCCATTCCAACCCATCCAGAATACAGGTCGGGGAAAGCCACAACTAGTGGGACAAAAATCGAGAACGATAGACAATTGTCAAGTTCAGTCTTGTCGAATAGCCCGTTGGGCGGAACGTTTTGAAGAACAATTCAGCAGTGCTGCAGCTACACTACCGTTTGACGAGACGCTAGAACTGACGTGGGACGTTGATGTCACACCTCCAAGTTAGGAAGATGTTCAACACCAGCTTACCGCCAAAGACCTTCAATTTTTCCTGAAAGACGGAGGTGATCACTTACTGGCTGGATTTGTTACTCTGCTTAAAACGATTTAGGACAATGAAGTGGTGCTTTAAAACTGGCGACTGTCAAATATCGTGCACATCCGCAATGCAGGGACTTTAAACTTGGCCGTGCTCTACGTTCCTCTTTCAAGTAATTACCAACACTCGCGCCTTCAACCATTTATACACTTATTGTTTTATTCACCTACGGCGCTATCTACGATTAGTGTCATTATTATTTATATCCATGAAATGTTAAAATCGTCATGCGTCAAGTGACAGACACATTTAGATTTATCCGAAGCAGTGAGAAAAATCTACAAAAAAACGTAAAGAATTTGCAAAGAAGCATCGTGCTGGATGGTGGGTTACTCTGAGGAGGAAAAAGTTGCCGAGCATACCTATTTTTCTCAGCACCAACGTCTGCACACTTCTTGGAAAAATGGAAGACCTTAAAGGCAACATTTTCTGTCGCGAAGACGCGCAGTCAGGAGTAGTTATGCTACAGGAAATTTGGTTTCACAAATTTGTGGAAGACGCTATTGTAGCAGTTTACGGTTTTATTTTCCACCGTCCTGATCGCTCATGCACGTCCCGCAACCGAAGTGCTGGTGTTATCTATTTTAACTCTTCCTGGTATTCATTATTGAAAAAAAATGTTCTGTTATTCGTCGCAACATATCGACTGGCTAGTTCTAGAGTGCACGTTAAAATAGCTGAGTGGATACAGCTCAATCTTGCTAGCCAAGATTTATGTATCCCCCAGTTGTCCAAGCTCAGAAGCCGAAAAATTTTACGATGACTTCAAAGCTGCTGTTATTGTGCACAGGGACCAATCTCTCTATGCATATTCGCTGGTGATTTCAATAGGTTTGACACCACATTTCTCACAACACTTGGACTACAGAACATCGTGGAATGCCCCACTAGGTTAGAAACAATCCTGGAGTCAGTGTTTGTTAACAATCTGAAGATATTTCCGGTCAGTACTCGGGCACCACTTGGAAGTTCTGATCATTCGACAGTCAAACTATCTCCTGTCACTTACAGTAAGACGAACCACAAGGAAGTCACCCGCTACAAAAGACGTAAAATTAAACGGGGACAAATCAACCCCGCAAACGTAGCACAGCTGAAAAAATGGTTGTCTGTAGAGATTTCACTTGATTTTCCGATGCAGATGTCTCAACATATTGTGACCGGATGACATGTTATCGGAACTTCTGTTTTGATCTCTGCTGTCCGATGGAAAGTATTCTCATTCGTGCTATCCGGTTCGCCTCAGCACTCTTCAAGCAACTGCGTCGACCTAAAGAGCGATCCATCAAAGTTGAAGATCGTAAAGTTTCTTTTTCTAAGCGTAAGGGAAGAAATTCACCACCTCAATCGTGCCAACGTCCAGACAATTCTGGGAAACAATAATTGCCGTGAGATTTGGCAGAAGAGAAAATAATTCAGTGGAGTCGCTCGTCATGGTACGAACTTCGACATAGACGTAGGAGAATTAAAGCGCAACTTCTACTGCTCCAATAGTGACGCACTCCCGAACTCGTTATCTGCACAGATTCAGTGGCCGACAGACCCATCGCCAGTGGTTGAGGTTGTAGCACTTCAAAGGAAGCTTACCCAACTAAACTCAAGTAAATCAAGCGGACCTGACGGTTGTCTCTCTTCGTACTTAAGGAATGTGTAAATTCACTAGCCCATCCGCTAGCAGAGTTGTACACCCTGTGCCTAAACCAAAGCAAGATCGCAGACTGTTGGACAGCTGCTAGGATAACACCAATAGCGAAAAAGTAAAAGGATAATCCCGACTTATTGCGTGCATTTCAGCTGTTTTAAAAGCCTTCGAGAAACACATCCTTGAAAAATTGCTAACCCAATCCTGTCTGAATGACGCAAATCAGTTGGAATACCGGTTCGAGCTCGACACTAAAACGCAGTGGCCTGTCTAGTGCATTCGGTGCTATCCTCGCTAGAGAGCAAAAGAAAATTACACGTGTATGCTTCCATTGACTACACCAACGCCTTCGGTTGTCTTAACCGTGAAACCATGTTGCAAGATCTCCTGGTTTCTGGTAACCAACCATGTGTAGCCTTGCTACAGGAGTATTTTGCCAAACGTGCTCAGATAACAAGGTTCAACAACAGGAGCTCCTTGTCTCCTACTTCCAGTGTGCTTCAAGGAGCCATTTTGTCCCCATGCTTATTCTCTACCTACGTTGGCTCCTTCCCTGTCCCTGAAGAAGCCATAATGCTAAAATATGCCGATGACGTACTAATCGGCGCGAATCATCTAATGTCAACCTCTTCGACCATGCTACAAGGTTGTTTGAATAAGATCGCGCATTGGTCAAACTCCCGCGGTTTAACGCTGAATGCTACCGAGCGCAATGATGTACTGTTTTCCCCGCATAAGGCAGATCAATACCAGAAACTCGTCGTTAACTGTACCCAACTTCACATCAGTGGTGAAAGCCTGAGCTTCTCGACGTCAGTGAAGTACCTGAGAATCAAACTGAGCAATGACTTATAGTGGTCAATTCACGTGAATGAAGTACTCACCACAGTCAGGCGACTGCTCTTTTGTGTCACACGGCTTTGTTCGTCCTCAGTCTCCAAACATTTGATCCTATGATTCATCACTGCATATGTCCTACAACACGGAACCTACCAATTTTCTGTGAGTAAGCATTTCAAACTACTTCATAGGTCGCGGAAACACATATCTCGATGCAGTGGCATTTCTAAACTAACCTTAGTACAACACATTGTATCGGTTCGTGTTAATTTATTCGCAAAACTTGCTTCGAAAATACTCAATGATATCAGCCATCCTTTACATAGTGTTTTCATAAACATCAACAGCAGT